GCCTGGGAGTAGGGGGCCGCACGGTGGGCGCCCTGCCCCGCGGGCCGCGCCAGAACTCGCGCCTGGGCCTCCCGCTGCTGCTGATGCCCGAGGAGGCGCGGCTCCTGGCCGAGATCGGCGCCGTGACCCTGGTCAGCGCCCCGCGCCCGGATCCCCGCCAACACAGCCTGGTAAGGGGGCGGGCTGGGGGCGGGAACTCCCTGGACCTGCGGGAGAAGAGGCGTCTCTGAGCCCTGGATTCTGGGATAATGTGGAAGTGGGACACTTGGGATCTCCGGGTTTGGGTCTCGAGGTTGGGAAGGGTCAGGGAGTCAGGACTCCTGGCTTCCTAGGGGAGGGCATACCTGGATCCTGAGGTTCCAGCTAAGTTGACTTCTCAGGCTCTGGCATCCTTCAAGCGCCAGCAAGAGCAAGGCTTCCAGGAGCAAAGCGCCCTGGCCGCTGAGGCCCGAGAGACCCGTCGTCAGGAGCTCCTAGAGAAGATTGCAGAGGGCCAGGCTGCCAAGAAGCAGAAGCTGGAACAGGATTCAGGGACCAGCGAGAGCCAAGAGGCCATTGAGAACCAAGCAGCTGGAGAGAATGAGGCCAGTGCTAACCAGGCTTCTGGAGAGCAGGAGGAAGCAGGTGAGCAAGGTGGGAGTTGGAGTCCAGGGGCCAGGGGAAGGAGCAGAGATCTTTGGGGAATTTTGGCTGGGACTCTAGGGCTTGGGTATCCCTTGGGGATGGATTCACTAAACTCTTGGGTTTACCTCCCCCAGATTCCTCCTCTTCCCAACCAGGGCCTTCAGATGGGGTGGCCCCCTTGCCGAGGTCTGCTCTGCTGGTCCAGCTAGCCACTGCTAGGCCTCGACCCATCAAGGCTAGGCCCCTGGACTGGCGTGTCCAGTCCAAGGACTGGCCCCATGCTGGCCGTCCAGCCCATGAGCTGCGCTACAGCATCTACAGAGACCTGTGGGAGCGAGGTTTCTTCCTCAGTGCTGCTGGCAAGTTCGGGGGTGACTTCCTGGTCTATCCTGGTAAGTTTGGGTCGGGACCTTTGGTTGCTGCCCCTTTCTTCACAATCCCACCACATTCTGCATTTTTCCATTTTGTCTCATTTTCTCACTGTCAGAAACACATGGAAGGACAGGAAACACTTGGGAACCCAAGCTTATTTGGAGGGCAGTGTAGTAAATTTTATTAACACTTCTTTTCATCTAGAAGTTTCACTAAGAAATACTTAGATATGTATACCAAACATAGAAATAGTCATTGCAGGATTCCTTATGGTACTCGAAAGTTAGATAACAACCAGAATGATGATTAATGGGTTAGTGGTTAAACATCACTGTTAGCTGTCAGAGAAACACCATTGATTGAGGTCAGACTGATATAGATCCATGTACATTTATTTAAAAAATGACCAAAGGGGGAAAAAAGGATAGCTTGTAGAAAATGTGTATAGTACAAAGTAAGTCATATTTTATATTGTTATGTAGTTATATACACATTATTTAAGTAGCCTTAAAATTGTGGCTCTAGAGAAAGAATATGAAAACCTAGAATAAAATGGAGTACTAAGTAGACTAAGAGAATCCTATCAAGAAAGTAGAAAAAGGCATGAAAGGATGTACTCCAGCCCAACTACAATGGTTACCTCTGGAAGGGAATTTGCATCAGGTGTAGGTAAAGGGACTTTTGATGAATTAGTTAATTTTTGAATTTATAGTAATGGTGCCTTTATTGCGTAACTAAAAGGTTAAAAAAATAAGGCCCTGACTGTGTAGCTCAGTTGGTTAGAGCATAGTCCAAGGTTTCAAGTTCGATCCCCAGTCAGGGCACATACAAGAATCAACCAGTGATTCATAAGTAAGTGGGACAAACGAATTGATGTTTCTCTCTCCCTTCCTCTCTCTCAAAATCAGTATCAATAAATAGAAAAATTAAAATAAATAAAAGGTTAAAAAAATCTGCAGAAAATCATCTGTGAAAAGGTAGAACTACCTCGTAGTCAGAGCTTAGCTACTGATTGGAGACTGTCCACTAAGTCTTCTGCAGATGAGGCAAGAGTCTTAGCACTGGGTGATGTATATAGGTAGATTTTAGTGCCACTGTGCTTCTATACTTCTCGAGAAAAATTTCGAGAAGATGAATATCTGGGTCTAAGGGTATCTGTTGTTGTTTTTTAATTGATTTTAGAGAGAAGAAGGGAGGGAGGGAGAGAAAAAGAGAGAGAGAAACATCAATGTGAGAGAGAAACATCGATTGCCTGCTTTCCTCATGTGCCCCGATGGGGGATCGAACTGGCCACCTTTTGGTGTATTGGACGATGCTTCAACCAACCAAGCCACACTGGCAGGGCTAAGGGTATCTGTTTTAAAAGTACAGTAATTGCTAAAATGATCCCGTCTCTTATCTGTGGGCATCCCATTGTCTTACAGCCTGTGCCAATGGAAACTGCTGCATGTCTTTTCCTCACCCAGGTGACCCGCTCCGTTTCCATGCCCACTACATTGCCCAGTGCTGGGCTCCTGGGGATCCCATCCCACTCCAGGACCTGGTTTCTGCTGGCCGCCTTGGAACCAGTGTCAGAAAAACACTGCTCCTCTGTTCCCCACAGCCTGATGGTAAAGTGGTCTACACCTCCCTGCAGTGGGCCAGCCTGCAGTGAACTTCAGAGACTTACGGGGGTGTGGCTACGTCTGTGGCAAGAACCTTTCTAGATAGTCCCAAGTTCATCTCTGCGTGGGAGGCTAGAACACCTTCCTACCTCTCCCTACGGTTAGTTTTTGATTCCAGGTTTATAAACACTACATCCTTATATCCCTTCCTGTTTCAAAGCACTTATTGGCCGTGTTGTTTTTGTAGTTAACTACTTCCAAACTGTGAGCTTCTTGAGAGTGAGGACTGGGGTTGATTCATCTCTATTTTCTACAGGGCTTAGGTCTCAATAAACTTGTTGAATAAATATGGAGTTTGTGATTTGAATCCTTAGGACAGTCCTGGGAAGTGTGGCCATTTGCATCTGCTTTTACAGATGAGGAAAAGTCTGGAGGAGGGGAAATGACTTGCCCAAGTTCACACAGCTAGTAAGTAGCAGGGCTGGGATTTAAAACCTGGTCTTTCTGACTCTGAACAAAGCCTGAGCTATTCCCACTGTGCTAAACTTCCTTTTGAAAAGATTTTAATGGAACATTTCAGATACATTTGTAAATAAAAATAAAGCATGAAGAGAAGAAGGGGCTGAGTGTTGCTGCTTGGAGTGGGGAGGGTAATGTCAGAAAGCACTTGGGCCTCTGGAAACTGGTGGGGTAGTTTTTCTTGGCCCGACAGGTATTTATTAAGTGTTTGAGAATTATTTTTTGTACCTTACATTTATATTCTAGATCCTTTTTTTATATGTATGTCATATTTCACAATTTTTTACAAAAGCTGAAACACATAGGTATAAAATATGTGTCTGCCTTTCTGCTTAAATTACTGTTATCAGTACTGACTTCCAATATTTATACATATATTGAAATAATGTGTAGTCTTGTTTTATCACATATATCTTATGACTGTAATACACTCACGCAGTAAAAATTCTGGGCCTGAAAGTTTCTACCTCTATTTCCTCAGTTTCTACCCCCAACTCCTTTCTTTCTTGCTGTCTTGGTAAAACAACTTTGGGTTTGGCAATGACATTTTAATGCAACACCAAAGGCACGATCCATGAAAGAAGGAATGATGAGATGGACTTCATTAAGATGAAAAACTCTGAGAAAATATTGCAAAAGACACATCTGATGGAGGACTGTTGTACAAGATATACAAAGAACTGTTAAAACCCAACAGTAAGAAAACGTGGGCCCAGCCAGGCGTGGCTCAGCAGTTGAGCATGGATCTAGGATCCAGGAGCTGGGGTTCGATTCCCACTCTGGGCACATGCCCGGGTTGCGGGCTGCAGCCGATCAATGATCCCTCATCATTGATGTTTCTCTCTCTCTGTTCCTCTCTCTGAAATCAATCAAGATATATTTAAAAAACAAAAACCAAACGTGGTTAAACAGTGGGCCCACAACCGTGACACTTCATGAAAAACAGAAATGGCAAGTAAGCGTATTTAAACTTGTCCCGCATCCCGTAGTCCCGGGCATGCAAATTAGCAGCGGGGAAGCGCCGCGCGCCGCCTGGGGCGCCCCAACCACGCCGGCGGCGCGGAGCAGGCTGCAGGGGTGCCCATGCCACAGCCAGTTGGGAAGGCAGTTTGGCCGGATTTCTACCCGGCTCGTCCCCCGCCCTTGCCTGCAAAAGCCGAGGGAAGCCACGGGGAGTCCTGCCCGAATGGGGAGCGGGGCTGTGTCCCCTCGGCCGGGCGCCCACCCGCGACCCCGCGCTTCGGCGTTCACTCCTCGGGGGAGCGCCGGCTCGGAAGGGCAGGCGGGCGGCTGGCTGTGCTCGCGGCGACGCCATTCTGATGGGAAACACGAGGCCGTCGTCACTCACGGAATCCAAGAGCTGCTTCTGGCAGGGGCTGTGAGTCCGCGAAGCTCCAGCCCCCGAGGGGGTCTTTTCAGAGAGGGGAGCCGGCGGCGGTCTAGCGAGGGTGGCGGTAACGTCTCCAGCAGCGCGCCCGACTCCGAGGGTGGCCGGCTGGACGTAGGCCCCGCCCCGGGCCCACCTGTCGGGTCGCGGGTGCCCCGGCTCCCAGTCAGGCCGCGAGAAACCCGCCTCGACTTACTACAGCTGCGCGCGCCCAGCCTCTGGTCTCCACAGCGCGCCAACGTCTCTTCTGATTGGTGCAGGCGTGCGCCGCGCGTGATGACGTAACCGGGAGGCGGTGTTGCTATAAAAGCGCGGCGGTTGCGCGTGCGCTCCTCTTTCTCAGTCGCCCGGCGCTGCGCTCAGGTGAGCTGGGTTGGCGTGCTTTCCAGTCCGCGTGCGGGGTGTAAGGCCGCGCGGGCCTTCTGAACTCGGATAGACACGGTGAAGAGGTTGGGCGGGGGTGGGTGGGGTGACTGTGGTTGGACAGGACGGCTACGCGTTTGTGGAGTGGTGCGCGTTACGGAAGCTTTAGGGACGGTTCTCGCGAGATCTGCTCTGGGGTCCACGGGATTCTAGCGTAGTTGTGGAACCGCGCGGGCGCCGCCTGCGTTCCTCACGCTCGGCTTTCTCCTGCGCAGGCGCACACGGACGAGCTCAGCCGATATGCCGGTGGCCCGGAGCTGGGTTTGTCGCAAGACGTATGTGACCCCGCGGAGACCCTTCGAGAAATCCCGCCTCGACCAAGAGCTGAAGCTGATAGGTGAGCGGCCACGGCAGGGTTTCGGCTTCCGGGGGCTGGGGAAGGCGAGCGCGTGAGGCCGGCCACGTGCTCGAGCTGTTCTAGTTTTGCGCTGTCCCCCTCCCTTTTTAAGAACTATTTATGGTTTAGGAAGAGTTTTGTGTATTCCGAAGCCACCAATCCCGCTTTTGCACTAACAGTGGGACAGCCTGTTCGCCCGTCAACCCTCCCCCCCC